GTTGGGCCCCTGGCCGGCTGTCGCGCGTAAGCGCTTAAATCATTGGAAAAACACAGTGTTTCGCGACTTTCCTGCCTTTTCGCGCACCTGGATCTTCTTTCTTCTGGGACTTTCTCTTCTCTGATCTTCTCTCTTCTTCTCTTCTCTTCTCTATTCTTCTGCTCCACCTCTGCTTTTCATCTGTCCATGTTGTCGGAAATTTGACTTCTAAACTTCCTTCGATAATATATAGATATGAAAATCCATTGCCCTGGATGTCTCGTCCTACGATATGTCCAAAAGGGTCGCTGATCGGTCCAAAGGCCAGGTCTGAGTGAAAATTAATGAATATCGATCATATCATTATACATACATACATACATACATACATACATACATGCATGCATGCATACATACATACATACATACATGCATGCATGCATGCATGCATACATACATACATTACATTACATTACATTACATTACATACATTACATTACATTACATTACATTACATTACATTACATTACATTACATACATACATACATTACATGCATTACATATATTACATGCATTACATGCATTACATCCATTAAATACATACATACATACATACATACATACAACACACATACATACATACATACATACATACATACATACATACATACATACATACATACATACATACATACATACATTACATGCATTACATGCATTACATGCATTACATGCATTACATACATTACATACATACATACCATACATACATACATACCATACCATACCATACCATGCCATGCCATGCCATGCCATGCCATACCATACCATACCATACCATACATACATATATACATACATAATGCATACAATATGGGGTACTGGATCAACTATGGGGTAGGAAAATGGGAACACAGCATGACTGGCGCGGCACAGCATCCTTTAGCCTCGGCCCAGATAGCTTCCCCTCTCGGCAAGTCTCCATACTGATGAAGTTCCCCAAATCTTTCGCCAAGGCCAACGTATCCAGCTGCGCCTCCGGGCAGAAGCAGGATGCTTTTGAAAGTCGGAACCAAGGAGGGCGTGCTATCTTTCAAATCTATGAAAAGTCCTGTGGGAACTAAACCCATCAAACACACTGCTATAGAACTGATGATACATGGGTAACAGCAAGGCAAAAAAAGGAACTCCAAACCCATGAGTTTTCCCCTTCAATTTCGACCAGGCTGGGCGGATCTTACCACACCTGTGAGTATCGGAAGGAGCTCTTGATGGCAGGACTCCATTCCCCGAAGGTGTAGGTGAAGCCCGTCAAAAAGCAGGTGAAAGTTCCTGGAAGATTCAGCCCTTGGATTCACACCAAAGAAAGCCTGTAAAACCAGCAGTGCGTTACTCACAACGGGTTCCATGCTCCATGTCTCCAAACCGCTCCTGCGCAGAAGGTCCACCATGCACCATTGCTCAGCGCGGGTTGTGGAGACATGTTCCAAAGTGCAGGGACTTCGAAACTACATTCTACTTTCATCTAATTCCACTGTCAAACGGCTGACTTTCCAAGACCGAGCCAATGTCCGTCTCCTTTGCCAGAATGCCAGGTTATATATTGGCTTCATTTGGCTTCTACGACCCTACTATACTCTATTATCCCCTATTGAGTGAATCGTGGTCTCGTCTCAGTGTTTGATCCTGTTTGCATAGCTTGCAAGAAAATTCAGCACCATGTCACCTAAAGTGCTGCGTCTCATGAGGGCTCCATGTCCATTGCAATGAAGCTGGATCCCAAATAGCATGGGAAATGTCACACCAGAAGGGGTTCTCACTCAAACGATGGCTAAGTCGGCTTATAACTAGGCTCCTGGACAGAGCATCCACAATCCACAGAGTCAATTTTCACCCACACTCAGAAACCACACGCGCATCACAGGAATACAGTCCAACCCGCTTCTAACACCAAAAGTCTTTTCCCGGCGCAAAGATCACGAGGGTGAAAGCGGGGAAGTTGTGAGTGCTTTGGTTTTTGCGTCTGAATGACATGTATGTGTGTATATATATATATTATATATATACGTATATTTATATCTATATATATGTGTGTGTATAGGTATATAATGGTATGTAACATTCAAAATTCCTCATGTTTCTCAAGTGTTTGTGCAGCAAGAACCTGTGCTTGCTATGTTTTGCAGGGTGCCGGCCACGCTGAGCGCTGGGGGAAAAAACATACAGCGGCTCAGCGAGGTGGCGCGAAAAGTTACGCGTCGTGTCTCAGCACTGGCTGGGAGCCTCACAAGAAAGTTCTTCAGGTGAAGGTCCCTTCTCATCATATCTAACATTCAACCAATGTTGGGAAAAAGTCCCAATATGTCCGAATGTAAACACATTACATGTGTATCTATATATATATATCCACATGTGTACCATAGAGAGATAGATAGATAGATAGATAGATCGATAGATCGATAGATCGATAGATCGATAGATCGATAGATCGATAGATCGATAGATCGATAGATCGATGGATGGATGGATAGATAGATAGATAGATCGATAGACAGGTAGATAGAAAGACAGGGAGATATGTGTATAAATATATTTATATTACAGAGATATACTTGCTTTGTGAAGATGGTTCCCAACCCTCCAGAGCCGAAACTTCGACGGAAAAGACTGCCAGCAAACATAGCTGAATTTGAGGCAGGTTGCCATTGATTGCGCAGGGTGAGCGGCGCTCACGACAATTGGAAAATAGCTCCGCCAGGCAAAGCATTGCGAAGTTGACTTTGAGCCTTCTTTGCTTGTCAATTCATAGACTTTGAGCAGAAAGCCTTGATTCACTGATGGACTACCTAGGACAAGCAGAATGTACAATCGACTACAAGATTCTTGATGGTAGTGACTCAAGATGACTTGGGCAGATCTCTGAAAAGGCAGGCTGCATGAGTGGATGATGACTATTTACCAGCGAGAATGAGAATGCCTTTTGCCAAGTCAATGTGGCAGTGATGCAAAGGCATGCTTAAGACAGCAGCTGATCATTTGATTTTGAGGCCCCCACTTTTATGACCTGGGCGGCATGGTGATATGTCACATAATTACATGTACTGTTGCTACCGCTACCTTTACTACAGCTTGAATATTGTACAAGAGTTCACTGTATAAGAATTTGAGGGGCTCGAATCCAAGGCGAACTACATATTTTCAGCTATACCAAACACATAGTACTTTAAGAATTTGAGGGACCCTGGAATAGGATTGCCAAATTCTTAAATTACTGCTTATAAGTGAGGTTTGCAATTCCCCTTTGCGGTTCATTTTGTTTGTGGCGTGACCCCTTATGGTCTTATGGGACGAAATCGGGCCTTGCAGAAAAACAATTTTTCAAGCTCCGAAAAAAGTGTTTTTTCGCACATGCTTGGACTGCTTCCAATCCACGCAAAATCAATACGTGGGTAGACTTGGGGACCTGAAACATTGTTTTCCCCAAAAACTTGAAGAAAAACTGAGGCTTCGCGGATAAACAATTTTTCGAGCTTCGAAAAATTGCTTTTTCGCACATTCTTGGACTGCTTCCAATCCACGCACATGCTTGGACTTTCCAGACCCTGTTAAATGCCCAAAAAGTCCCCCACCGGGATTCGAACCCCCGACCCGGTCCGACAGGCTGACAATTACGCTACAGGAGCCTTGCCTTGAAGCGATTTTGCTTTCTTATTCTCTCTCTTTGCTTTGGCTGCAAAGGGCTGGGTTTAGCATGGGTTGCAGTTGCGACAAAAAAAATTAAGGGACCGGATAACCCCCACAAGTCAAGCTCCTCCAATGATCAGAAAAAGTGGTTGAAGCGGCACGGAGAAAGAAGAAAAGACGAAGGAGATGGTGGAGGGTCAATCATTTCAAAAGTTGCATGCGAAGAGTTGTGTGTGAGAAAGTTGTGTGTGAAAGAGTTGTGTGTGAAAGGTTGTGAGTGAACGAGTTGTGCGTGAAAGATTGTGAGTGAAAGAGTTGCGTGTGAAAGGTTGTCTGTGACAAAGTTGTGTGTGTGAAAGAGTTGTGTATGACAAAGTTGTTTGTGACAAAGCTGTGTGTGAAAGATATGTGTGTGTGTGACAAAGTTGTGTCTGAAAGAGTTGTGTGTGACAAAGTTGTGTGTGACAAAGTTGTCTGTGACAAAGTTGTGTGTGAAAGAGTTGTGTGTGACAAAGTTGTGTGTGTGACAAAGTTGTGTGACAAAGATGTGTGTGAGAGAGAAGTTGCATGTGAGAGAGATGTGTGTGAAAGATTGTGTGTGTGTGACAAAGTTGTGGGTGACAGACAAAGTTGTGTGTGTGTGAGAGAGATGTGTGTGAAAAAGTTGTGTGCAAAAGAGTTGTGTGTGACAAAGATTGTGTGTGACAAAGTTGTGTGTGTGTAACATCTAAATAGATGTAAAACTTCTCTCTTTCTCTTCCTTCTGTCCTCTCCCTTTTTTAAACCTAGTGCAGGGGGCCAGGAACCACTGACTGTCTGTCCTGGCCAACGAAGACCAGACAGCATGGGGGTGAAAACGTACCTGCGATTTTTTGAACTGTTGAACAAGCTGTCGTATTCATTATTTTGCAATCATTGCGTGTGAATGGCGAGGGGCTAAGCCAAGTACCCCAACACCATGATTTTATTCTCCACGGTTGCCACAATCTGTATTTTCGCCGAAACCATGTCGCCGACAGTATTTGTGATTTCGCCGAGCCACGTCGCCGATTGTATTTTGATTATTTTGCCTTGTCATGTCGCCGATGTATTGTTGGAATCTGGTTTGAACTCTGTTGGACAATATTGGATGTTCTACTTCGGTTTCGAGAAGTACTACAAGAGTCTCTAACGTAAAACAAATGGTCTAGGCTGGTTTGCACGTTTCAGGATTCAGTTCCTGCCGGATCATATAATGATCCATTCTTGTCTAGTGTGATTCCTATGGTGACTCCGACATGGTGCCATAGGGCCATTTGAGGCAACCCCAGTTGGGGTCAATGTCGACTGACCTGAATTCTGAATTTACACTTTTGAACTAGTAATTCATTTAAGTAAAGTGCAACAGATGGCCTTGCTGTTTTTCAGCCATTTTGAGATATCCTGCTGCTCCGGATGTCCCAGGGATCCCAGTGATCTGCGCTCTTTCAAGTGAAGCTGCTCTGAACAGCCTGAAACCTCCGTTTTTTGCAGCTATTTTCGAAACTCACCTGACTTCATGGCATGACAAGGAATTAAGGCAGGTTCACGCCTTCCAGGTGTGGTCTCTTTCTTTTGGTTGTCTGGTGAGGTGAAACATGTTGTGCACCTAATTCGTTGGAACTTGAAAGCTGTTATATGCCCTTGTGGCTGACTTGAACACGGGCCTGGAGTGGCACAACGCACGAACTCTAGGTTTAGGAGCTGAATCCTGTTGTTTAACTAATTGTTTTGGTTTTCTTGTCTGTCATCAACTCGTCCCCCATTTGGTCCCTAATTTTCCCCGCGTGCCTCTCCGTAATGTGTCGTGGGGTTGAGGTGTGTGCGCTGTTTTGGTCAGGTCCGTTTCGCCGTGTAGGTTGGTTCCGGAGGTCCGTCTGTTCCCCTCCCCCCCCCTGCGCTGTTTTTGGCCGTCTGCCCGTCGTGTGTCCGCTTTTTTCTTCCTTGCCTTTCAGGGTTGACCCGGCTCTGGCCGGGTGTGTGCGTGTAACATCTAAATAGATGTAAAACTTCTCTCTTTCTCTTCCTTCTGTCCTCTCCCTTTTTTAAACCTAGTGCAGGGGGCCAGGAACCCATGACTGTCTGTCCTGGCCAACGAAGACCAGACAGCATGGGGGTGAAAACGTACCTGCGATTTTTTGAACTGTTGAACAAGCTGTCGTATTCATTATTTTGCAATCATTGCGTGTGAATGGCGAGGGGCTAAGCCAAGTACCCCAACACCATGATTTTATTTCTCCACGGTTGCCACAATCTGTATTTTCGCCGAAACCATGTCGCCGACAGTATTTGTGATTATTTCGCCGAGCCACGTCGCCGATTGTATTTTGATTATTTTGCCTTGTCATGTCGCCGATGTATTGTTGGAATCTGGTTTGAACTCTGTTGGACAATATTGGATGTTCTACTTCGGTTTCGAGAAGTACTACAAGAGTCTCTAACGTAAAACAAATGGTCTAGGCTGGTTTGCACGTTTCAGGATTCAGTTCCTGCCGGATCATATAATGATCCATTCTTGTCTAGTGTGTGTGTGTGTGACAAAGTTGTGGGTGACAAAGCTGCGCGTCCGGTGCCGTAAGTAAGTGCCACGCCTGCAGCGCGAAGTGGAGCTGCGTGTCACCAAGTGCCATGCCTGCCACGCAGAATGCACGTCCACGTCGCCAAGTGCCACGCCTGCCACGCGAAGAGCCGCGGCGACCACGACTGTGCCAACTTGGAACCAAGCGCGCCAAGCGCCACGCCTGCCACGCAAAGTGACGGTCGATGTCGCCAAGTGCCACGCCTGCCACGCAAACAGCGGCGGCGTCCACGGCGCCAAACGGGAACCAAGCGCGCAACCAAAGCCAGCATAAGCCAGCCCAGTCCCATGAGTGCCACGCCTGCCACGCAAAGTGACGATCGATGTCGCCAAGTGCCACGCCTGCCACGCAAAGTCATGATCGATGTCGCCAAGCGCCACGCCTGCCACGCAAACAGCGGCGGCGTCCACGGCGCCAAACGGGAACCAAGCGCGCCACCAGAGCCAGCCCAGTGCCATAAGTGCCACGCTTGCCACGCAAAGTGACGGCCGATGTCGCCGAGTGCCACGCCTGCCACGCGATCAGCGGCGGCGTCCACGGCGCCAAACGGGAACCAAGCGCGCCACCAGAGCCAGCCCAGTCCCATAAGTGCCACGCCTGCCAGGCAAAGTGACGATCGATGTCGCCAAGCGCCAAACCTGCCACCCAAAGTGACGGTCGATGTCGCCAAGTGCCACGCCTGCCACGCAAACAGCGGCGGCGTCCACGGCGCCAAACGGGAACCAAGCGCGCCACCAGAGCCAGCCCAGTGCCATAAGTGCCACGCCTGCCACGCAAAGTGACGATCGATGTCACCAAGTGCCACGCCTGCCACGCAAAGTGACGGTCGATGTCACCAAGTGCCACTCCTGCCACGCAAACAGCGGCGGCGTGCACGGCGCCAAACGGGAACCAAGCGCGCCACCAGAGCCAGCCCAGTGCCATAAGTGCCACGCCTGCCATGAGTAAGTTGTGTGGTGACAAGTTGTGCGTGAGCAAGTTGTGTGTGTGAGCAAGTTGTGTGTGAGCAAGTTGTGTGGTGACAAGTTGTGTGGTGACAAGTTGTGTGTGAGCAAGGTGTGTGTGTGTGTGGGCAAGTTGTGTGGTGACAAGTTGTGTGTGTGTGTGTGCAAGTTGTGTGTGCGCAAGTTGTGTGGTGACAAGTTGTGTGGTGACAAGTTGTGTGGTGACAAGTTGTGTGTGAGCAAGGTGTGTGTGAGCAAGTCGTGTGGTGACAAGTTGTGTGGTGACGAAAGGCGACGGGCGGGCGAGGGCAGGCGGGAGCGGAGAGGCGGAAGTGCACAACCAAAAACAAGAACCCCACACAAAGATGTGGGGAACAATTTTTCAGGCTCTACAAGCGGAAAAAATGTTTTTTCCACAACTCAGAGAAGCCCGGCTTGCAAAAAAAAAACAGACTCTAATTTTTTTTTTCCACACTAAACTTATGAAATTCAGACACGCCTGGCTTTGAAAAAAAGGTCATGCTCTAAAAAAACGTTTTTTTCCGCGCTGCTCACATGAAACTCAGACAAGCCCGGCTTTGCAAAAAACAATTGTTCAGGCTCTAAAAAATCATTTTTTCGCATGCCTCTTGTCAAATCTGCCAACTCCACCTCGTTACCTCGTTTAAGCTCGCTCCAAATTGTGCAGATGCATGCAATACATACAGTAACTAAGAATGCCCTAAGAATTTGAGGGACCCTCGGCCTGTTGTGGTGTAAATTTGCCTGCATTTAAAAATAAGAATCTGAGGGACCCTGGGCCTCAAGCTTTCGGATTCTTAACCAGCGCTCGGGCTGTATTAATTGCTATCTTTATTTTTACTAATTGTTCTCATTATATGTGTGTATATAATATATATATATATATATATACACGCGTGTGTGTGTGTGTGTGAGCAAGTGTGTGTACCATATGGACTCAGGGACTCAGTGACAGGGACTTACCGTGACTGTTTTCTTTTTTCGTGTACCACGCAATTCAATACTGCAGGTGGCGGTCAATGCCCTGTATAAACATGCTAGGGCCTTCCTTCCAAACAAGGCAGCAAAAATCTGCGAGTACCCTTCGCAAATTATCACCAAGTCTCCAGCTGCATTCAAAATATATAAAATATGTGTTGTATGTGTTGTAAATGTGCAACCTTTCCATGCACCTACCTGTTGCACTTCTGTGTAAATGCAAGAAGTGGAAGGAATGAATATCAATGGTTGTTGTGAAAGGGTTGTGAAAGTCATCCGCATCACTTACTATCATTACTAAAAAAAATAAATATACCTTATGCACGCTCCCAACACGGCCCCCAAACACAGACACTGCGGACACTGCTGGCACCTGAAAGCAACGGAATGCGAAGTACGTCAGATACGGCAAACGGGAAAACGACTGCCGTACTATCCGTTGATATCCATCGAAATCCACATGATGAATGTATATTGTTAATTAAATGATTTAGTAATCAAATGGGGATATGAATTATTTCAAGAATTGCGTTGCACAAAACTCTTGACATGCCACTTCAACAAGTGGTGTCCCAAGCGGGATTCAATCATGTCATATCTGGAGAGGCAAATCAGATCTATGATCTATGGGACAAGTTGATGAGATGTTGATGAACAGTTTGCTTGTCCAAAATCTATTTGGCCAACATCTGCGAAGTCAACCCGCCTAGACAATCATGATCCGGGCTGGCATCAAACTGATCAAACATGATCAAACTCCAGCAGGTCACTTCTGGCCAAACAAAAATCAAATGTATCTTGGTACATCTTGGTACATCTTGGTGTCATGTGTCACTTTCTGATTTTTCAAAGGAAATTTCCGACGATAGCCTCCACTAATCCAACCTGGCGGCAAAAGCCTCAGGGATTTCCCAGCCATGTTTGATTGGAGGGCAACTCTCTACATAATTGTTGGCTATATAATGCTATATATTCGTATCTCCATTCTTCCCCATCTGCATGAAATATCATGAAATATCTGATTCTATGCACAAAAATCACCATATATCCCCATACCCCAATGATTTCCCTGTCGAATCTCCATTAAATCTCCATGAAATCCGTTAACATCCTCCCATCGTCCTCCCATCGCTGATCCCACCTGATTGTTGGGAACTTCCGTCGTGATCGTCGCCTTGGGCATCTCTGGAACCTGGAACCCAGGTTCGAAGCCAAGAATCCAAGGTACGTGTTTTAGCATAATTTGCTTTATTTAAGTTGACTTAATGCGCCTATACAGGCCTATACATTCTATCAAATATGATATGATATGTACAGTGCTTTTACTAGTCATCTATTTTGTTTAATCTATTCACTTTCTGTTTTTAGGGCAGTGAGCCATCAGAAGATGAATTTGCCTCTTAAGCCATGGGGGATAAATACTTCAGGTGTATTACTTGCCATTCAAAGGTGCGGAAAATGAGGATTGACCAATTGCCGTTAAAATACACATGATGAACCATAGGAGTTTAGGGATACCCAACTCCGAGACATAGCCAACATGTCAAAACTATTTATTTAAACTTATGATTTGTTCGAAAATGAAAACCAAAGGGCCCCAACTATGGCTTTCGGCAGTCTCCGCACATCTCAAGATCACGAAACAGAAATCCCTGACCTCCTTGGCGACGCAGCAGGGTCGAAGAGTTCTTCCATCGTACCTGGCGCTTCCCCAGGGCATCCCCGAACCTGTGACCTGCATTGTATCGGCATGTCTCGGCTGGTGATACCCTTGGTATTTGGCTCGAAAAAGGATCAACGATGATAAACCACTACGTCTAGGGCTATACCCTGCCTACCCTGTTTTTGGACGGGCTAGTTGGACCCAATGCATCCCTCGTAGAGTCGGCCATGTTGCATCCCTTCAACATGGCATCTCTCAAAGTTGCAAGCCTCAAAAGCCAAAGTTTTTCCAAGTGTTCGAACAAAACAACTCAAGGCTGCCATCATGTGCTCATCGTGTAACATCCCTGAGTTCCATTTCAACCCAAAATAGGCTGCCGATTTCCGTTCCGCGTTCCGCCTCAGGACCACGGAGTTGTCCTCCACGTCCACGGTCACGGGGCCGCCTTGCTTCAACTCCCCCGCCACCAGAAACTCGGCCAACGGATCCTGCGGGACTCGACCTGTTGGAAAAAAGGTCTGGCACTGGGATGTTTCTAACTAAATCATGGATTGATATTATTATATTATTATATTATTATTCTGTTATTATTATATTATTATTATTAAAATTATTAGTATATTATTATTATATTAATATTATTTGCTATTTAATAAAACGAGTGTTTGCGATACAAACGGTGGATCACAGACATATCTCAAGACAAACGAAGGGCCCCAAGAGATGTTACATAATTATTATTAATATTATTTATTATTAATATTAGTAGTATATTATTATTTATTATTATTAATATTATTATTATTACTATTTATTATTATATATGTTGATATAATACATTGATATGATATATTGATATTATATATTGATGTACTATTCTAAGTCACTGAAATCACTAGATGTTTCGAACTCATCTCGACATCGGTTCCAACAGGTCTCCTCAAAGAGTCGCTGAACGGCCCTCCGCAGGGGGCGAGCCTCGGCCCAGGCAAGACCAGGGCACAAGGCTATGAAGACAGTGGGAAAAAATAGAAAACAATAATCAATATAAGTCACATACGTTACATAGTCTTGACATAGTCTTTGCATACATTTTATCATGAACATCATGTAGATGTCATCAATATTCATGGATTTCATTTAGAATTCATCTGCAATGGCCAGTGTTGGCCAGTGTCCCCAGCTCCACCAGGGCATCCCTGCGCCATAGTTGACGTTGGAACCTTTGGAAATGACCAACTCTTCCAATTCCGCCTGGCTCCACTGGATCAATGGAATTATCCCAGCAACGTGTCGTGAATTAACGTGGAATTCAAGTGGAAGAGGAAAATTGGCGCGCTAATCTGGGCATTGTCCTGTTCTAAATTCTAAATCATTCTTTCTTGTATCTGGCACTTCCATGGATTTGAATAATTTCGTAATTTCTGCAATTTCTATGACCCAACAAGAGGCAGAGAAATGATAGGTGTCATTGTGCGGGATGGTGATCCTCATTCTTGGAAATAGATAAATGTGTCAAAGCGGGAAGTTGTTGCTGCGGTGGTGTCCGCACTCCGCACATGGTGTTGATGGATTAAAATCACGTTGTCCCCTTTGAGATGTTTAAATTCCCGTTTGTTCCTTGCTTCACTCGACATTGTTTTCATGATGAAATCAGAATTCCTGGTTGATTTCACCATTGTTCATTTGGAGGTGTCCATAATTTGGGGGCTACCCCCAGTAAAAAAATCATAAAAAATCCAGGTTATTTGGGACTGTCCATTATTAACCATCCATTTTCCATCCATTTTCTGGATCCGCCATGGCGTAGGACACCATGTCTTCACCCATTTTGGGACGACATCACCGACGGCACCGTCCAGTTGAGGTCCAACGGCCGATGGGCGCGTCCCGTCTGGAGAGCTGCCTTCGTGGAGATCAAAGGGACATCACTGGGATACTCAATGGGATATTAGTTATAATCAATGGGATATTAATGAATATATATATATATGTATATATATATATATATGTATATATATATATATTATTCATGAGATATACTATGGAATCTTCATATTACGGGATATACTGATATACTATGGGATCTACCATTGGGATATCAATGATGGGATACATGAATGGATATTGTGGGGATACTGTGGGGCCTGGGGATATCTGGTAATTTAAGATAACTAATGGGAAATGACCCATGAAAGTAGATCATGTCCGATAGCTATATGGCTATATTCCATGTACCGAAGAGAAAAAGTAAAGAGGATTTGATTTGATAAGATGATAAGGGCAATTGGGATGTAATTGGGATATATTATTGGATAATTAGGATATCGGATATATTTTTGAATAATTTGGATGGATTATGTGATAATTGGGAAAATTATAATATGATAGGTTAGATGTAATGGGGATGTAATGTTCCCTATGGATCCAGGTACCTTCTCAGGAAGTATGGCTGGAGCATGATCTGCGGGGTTAAGTACCTTCTCAGGGACTGATATCTTGGTATATATCGTTGATTTTTCATGGATATTTAAACAACATTCACCAACATTACAAACCTCGGACCTAAAAATCACTTTATCGCTAATCACAATGATTCACACTTTTTAAAGCCTGTATCACTTTGATAATCTTTGATACAACTCTATCTGGAAACCCCACTGATGCGGTGTCCATCACCCAAATCACCTGATCAAAGGCTATGATGGCTCGCTGCTGAGCATCTCCCAACACCAGTTGCACCTGTCGGCCAAATGGGTTTGGTACCTGAAAATTTCGGGGTACACCGGTACACCACTAAATCCACTAGTTAACCACAAGTTTGTTTGTATTGGAATTTCCGTTTGGGAGGTATACAAATAAATAAACATGTAAATAGGTGGTATAACCTTAGGTATACATTGGAACTTCCTTCAACAAAACCTAGCTCTGACGGGTCTGGTAGCTGCCAGGCATCTCACCCAATTTTACAAGCCTAGCCATAGGATTTGGAAAGGTACCCAGTTATCAGACAATCAACTCTGACGTAGAGCAAGGCAATATAGTTCAGAATTCAATATACTGTATAATTAATCTCCTTCATGGACCCCTGTGCATGTCATTCGAAACAAATCCAACGTGTCATTGACAATCTTGGGAGGGTGATGGGTTGTGGTCATGTGGACAGTACAGTGCATGACTGAGCCCTCAGCGCTATGTCCCAGGTCTCCCTGCAATCTTTGTGAGTTGGACATTGGAGAGCGCTTGGAAGACCAGGAGCTCGTCGATGCGATTCAGAAACTCGGGCCTGCTGTGTCTTGACTAAAAAAATGGCTGTGTCTGAAAATGCTGCACACCCAGAAAAATAGCTATTGGATGCTACTCGGGAAAATATGATGAACAAGCATTGGATTTGGGGGTACGCTGTTTTGAGACAAACCCATATCTCTTTCTATCATATTGTCAAGAATATCGTCATAAGTTGCAAAATATGTGATGTTGAAAACGATCTTTAGATATAGCAGTTCTGAATTTGATCATTTGCCCAGCTGATGTCGTCCCTAAATCCTCCCTTCTGGTGCCATTGCCTGAACTTTTGCTGCAGCTGTGCTTGCACGGCTCGCCGCAGCTCTCCATAGGATCCAATTCCTGCAGCCTGGCTCTTGAAAAAATGGGATGAAAATGGAGCTAAATAGCCTGCAAAAAAAAGGGTTATAAGCACTGTATAACTGTATAACCAATAATATAAGGTATATAATTAAATGTATACAAAATTGTATAATAAGTGTAAGCAAGAACCAACAATAGCCCCCGATCTGCCTGCAGAAAAAAAGCTTGGAAAATATCAGTCAATGCTGGGAAAATTGTCGTCGCGAGATTTGATTGCTGAAGGCGACCGAGGATGATGAGTGCTCAGTCAGTTTCTGGAAAGCACACGTCACTCAGAATGTACAAAAATGAAGCACTGTTCATATTTTTTAATGCTGACGCTGTTCGCATTCGTCGCGTTGGCAATAGTGCTGAGATTGGATCAATCTCTGCACAAACATTCTCGAGTCTCACCAGCAAACGTCTACTTCCGAGACCTCTGCAGGCACCAAGAGTCAGCACGCCATGACGTCGCATGTGCCTTGAATATTCTCGAATTAGGGCCGGACTCACCACAAGCTGCCGCAAACACATGGACCGGTCTGGGTCTCAGCTGCTTCAACTTTGACATCAAGGAGCCTTGGTGAGTCTTCCTTGGTAGCAGTGGTGACTGTCTCAGTATCCTCAGCCTTCTCAGGCTTTACTTCGACATGCGACGTCTTCAGCTCTGTGTCTTTCAGTTCGCCAATGGCTTTCTCCGCTTCTTCAACGTCGACTTTCTCCTCATCCTCCTTGGCTTCTGTGGGGACAGGCTGCTCAGCTGTCACCTCCGTTGCTTCCTTGGTCTCAACTGCCTCAACTGCCTCAACTGCAGCCTCTGTGCTCTCAACTGCAGGCTGGGCTTGTTCGGCTTGTTCGGCTTGTTCGGCCCTGGGAGCTGCATACACAGCTTCCTGGGGCTTGGCAGCCTTGGAAGTCTTGGAGCTAGAGCAACCCATGGCGTCAGAAGGGAACGGGGATCGCAAGTCTACTGAAGACACAACTGCACTTGGAGCCCTCACAATGAAACAGGACAGGCTTTGACCGAGCAGCAGCTGGAAGAAACGTGGCTTGATTGGAGACTCAGAGTGTCTTCATGAATCCTGAAAACAATAATTTGTATCAATTTATCCCGTTCTTGTGCATTCTCAATTGTCAAAGAACCTTTGATTGCCAAAGCAACAAAATTGCGAACACACTGTGAAAAATCTTACACTGTCCATGTGTCAGATCTTGATCTGGGACTGTGTCCAATCTACACGCGGAGACAACATTCACAATTCCTAGGACTACGAGTCTTCCTCTGCTGTTTTGACACTGTTCGCATTCGTCGCGATAGCAGAATGCTGAGATCGGATCAATCTCTGCACAAACATCCTTGAGTCTCGCCGGCAAACGTCTACTTCCGAGACCTCTGCAGGCACCAAGAGTCGGCACATGACGTCGCATGTGCCTTGAATATTCTCGAATTAGGGCCGGACTCACCACAAGCTGCCGCAAACACATGGACCGGTCTGGGTCTCAGCTGCTTCAACTTTGACATCAAGGAGCCTTGGTGAGTCTTCCTTGGTAGCAGTGGTGACTGTCTCAGTATCCTCAGCCTTCTCAGGCTTTACTTCGACATGCGACGTCTTCAGCTCTGCTTCTTTCAGTTCGCCAATGGCTTTCTCCGCTTCTTCAACGTCGACTTTCTCCTCATCCTCCTTGGCTTTTGTGGGGACAGGCTGCTCAGCTGTCACCTCCGTTGCTTCCTTGGTCTCAACTGCCTCAACTGCCTCAACTGCAGCCTCTGTGCTCTCAACTGCAGGCTGGGCTTGTTCGGCTTGTTCGGCTTGTTCGGCCCTGGGAGCTGCATACACAGCTTCCTGGGGCTTGGCAGCCTTGGAAGTCTTGGAGCTAGAGCAACCCATGGCGTCAGAAGGGAATGGGGATCGCAAGTCTACTGAAGACACAACTGCACTTGGAGCCCTCACAATGAAACAGGCTTTGACCGAGCAGCAGCTGGAAGAAACGTGGCTTGATTGGAGACTCAGAGTGTCTTCATGAATCCTGAAAACAATAATTTGTATCAATTTATCCCGTTCTTGTGCATTCTCAATTGTCAAAGAACCTTTGATTGTCAAAGCAACAAAATTGCGAACACACTGTGAAAAATCCTGCACTGTCCATGTGTCAGATCTTGATCTGGGACTGTGTCCAATCTACACGCGGAGACAACATTCACAATTCCTAGGACTACGAGTCTTCCTCTGCTGTTTTGACACTGTTCGCATTCGTCGCGATAGCAGAATGCTGAGATCGGATCAATCTCTGCACAAACATCCTTGAGTCTCGCCGGCAAACGTCTACTTCCGAGACCTCTGCAGGCACCAAGAGTCGGCACATGACGTCGCATGTGCCTTGAATATTCTCGAATTAGGGCCGGACTCACCACAAGCTGCCGCAAACACATGGACCGGTCTGGGTCTCAGCTGCTTCAACTTTGACATCAAGGAGCCTTGGTGAGTCTTCCTTGGTAGCAGTGGTGACTGTCTCAGTATCCTCAGCCTTCTCAGGCTTTACTTCGACATGCGACGTCTTCAGCTCTGCTTCTTTCAGTTCGCCAATGGCTTTCTCCGCTTCTTCAACGTCGACTTTCTCCTCATCCTCCTTGGCTTCTGTGGGGACAGGCTGCTCAGCTGTCACCTCCGTTGCTTCCTTGGTCTCAACTGCCTCAACTGCCTCAACTGCAGCCTCTGTGCTCTCAACTGCAGGCTGGGTTTGTTCGGTTTGTTCGGCTTGTTCGGCCCTGGGAGCTGCATACACAGCTTCCTGGGGCTTGGCAGCCTTGGAAGTCTTGGAGCTAGAGCAACCCATGGCGTCAGAAGGGAACGGGGATCGCAAGTCTACTGAAGACACAACTGCACTTGGAGCCCTCACAATGAAACAGGACAGGCTTTGACCGAGCAGCAGCTGGAAGAAACGTGGCTTGATTGGAGACTCAGAGTGTCTTCATGAATCCTGAAAACAATAATTTGTATCAATTTATCCCGCTCTTGTGTGTTTTAATGCGTCAAAAAGCTTTTGATTGTTGAAGCAAACAAGGTGGGCCAGAGAACCCAAAAGCAAGACGGCGCACAACACACTTTTTAAAAAGAACCTGTGGTGTGGGCAACTGCGCTCTGCACAAACTCGGTGTAAGATCTTTACTGAAACATCATGCGCACTGATGGTATCAGGGGCCACAATTCACCACAGCATGCTGTGTCAGCTAAATCTACATTCTTCTAGTCGCTATTTCTGCAAATGTAATTAACTCTATCCCATCTTTCTAGTCGCTATTTATTCCTGGGTTCTCGTTTAGATTGCTTCGCCGCAGAGGGGGCGAGGACGAAGCGTGGACGGACAGAACACCATGCGAAATGAAAACTAAACGACGGAGGGAGTTGACCAAAAGAGCATGAAAACGAAGATATGAAGGTGACAGAATGGTCATGAAAAATGAGACCTGATGAAAGATGGGTAAAGACATCTCTGTACAAACATGTTCTATGCGTAAAAGTTACTGTGTGTAAACGCGTCTGTGCGTGCAAGTTTCTGTGTGTAAAAGTTCCTCTGTGTAGATGTTTTTTTGAGAAAACTTCTGCGTGTAAAAGTTTCTGCGTGTAAAAGTTTCTTTGCGTAAAAGCTTGTGTAAAGTTTTTTTGCGTAAAAGCTTCTGTGTAAAACGTCCTCTGTGTGTAAAAGTTTCTGTTTGTAAAAATGTCTGTTTGTGAAAGTTTCTTTGCGTACCAGCTTCTGTCTGTAAAAGCTCCTCTGTGTTAAGGTTTTGTTTGTGTAAAAGCTTCTGTGTGTAAAAGATTCTCTGTGTAAACGACTTCTCTGTGTAAGAGCCTCTGTGTGGGCAAGCTTCTCTGTGTCAAGACTTCTTTGTGTAAAGATTTCTCTGTGTAAAAACTACTCTGTGTAAAAGCTTCTGTGTGTAAAAGCTTTCCTGTGTAAACGCCTCCGTGTGTAAAGACTCCTCTGTGTAAACCCGTCTGTGTGTAAAAGCTCCTTTGTGTAAAAGGTTTTTTGTGTAAAAGCTTCTGTGTGTAAAAGTTTCTGTGTGTAAAAGCTTCAGTGTGGAAATGTTTCTGTGTGTATGTATTTAAAAAAAAATCCTTCTGCAAAAGCTTCTGTGTATAAAAGCTCCCCAGTGTGTACAAGCTTCGCTGCATAAAAGCTGCTGTATGTCTGTAAAAGTTCTGTGCACCGTAAAGTTGTCTGTTTGTAAAACCTTCTGTGTGTGTGCGTGAGCGTGTGTACAAGGTTCTGTGTGCAAAAGCTCCTCTGTGTAAAGACTTCTCTGTGTAGACGCGTCTGTGCGTAAAGGCTCCTCTGTGTAAAGACTTCTCTGTGTAAACGCGTCTTTGCGTAAAAGCTTCTCTGTACTAAGACTTCTCTGGGTAAAAGCTACTTTGTGCAAAAGGTTCTGTGCGTAAAAGGCTTCTGTGTGCAAAAGCTCCTCTGTGTAAAGGCTTCTCTGTGTAAACGTGTCTGTGCGCAAAAGCTCCTCTGTGTAAGACTTGACGGTGTAACAAGCTTCTGTGTGTGTGAAAGTTTCTGTGTGTAAAAGCTTTCCTGTGTAAGAGTTTCCTTGTGCAAAAGCTCCTGTGTGTAAAAACTTCTCTGTGTAAAGGCTTTTTTGTGTAAAAGCTTCTGTGTGTGTACAAGCTGCTCTGTGGAAAAGTTTCTGTGCGCCGAAAGAGCCTCTATTTGTAGAACCTTCTGTCTGTGTGTAAACGTGTCTGTGTGTAAAAGCTTCTGTGTGTAAATCTCCTTTGTGTGTAAGGACTTCTCTGTGTAAAAACTCCTCTGTGTCAAGACTTTCTCTGTGTAAAGACTTTTCTGTGTAGCAGCTACTCTGTGCAAAAAAGCGTCTGTGCGTAAAGGCTTCTGTGTGTAAACGCGTCCTTGTGTCAAGACTCCTCTGTGTAAACGCGTCTGTGTGTCAAAGTTTCTGTGTAAAGGCGTTTTTGTGTAAAATCTTCTGAGTGTAAAAGCTTCTGTGTGTAAGAGCTTATCTGTGTAAAGGCTTTCCCGTGCAGAAGCTTCTGTGTGTAAAAGCTTCTGTGTGTAAAGCTCCTCTGTGCGTAAACGATTTTTGTTAAAACGGTGTGTGCAAAAACTCCTCCGTGTAAAGACTTATCTGTGCAAACCCGTCGGTGCGTAAAAGCTCCTCTGTGTAAGACTTCTCGGTGTAAAAAGCTTCTGTCTGTGAAAGTTTCTGTGTGTAAAAGCTTTCCTGTCTAAAAGTGTCCTTGTGCAAAAGCCTCTGTGTGTAAAAACTTCTCTCTGAAAAGGCTTTTTTGTGTAAAAGCTTCTGTGCGTAAAAGCTGCTCTGTGTAAAAGCTTCAGTGCGTCGTAAACGCTTCTGTGTGTAAAACTTCCTGTGTATAAACGCGTCTGTGTGTAAAAGTTTCTGTGTAAATCTCCTTTGTGTAAGAAGGACTTCTGTGTAAAAGGCTTCTGTGTGCAAAAGCTCCTCTGTGTAAAAGCTACTCTGCGTAAAAGCTTCTGTGCGTGGAGGCTTCTGTGTGTAAACGCTCCTGTGTAAACACGTCTGTGTGTAAAAAATTCTGTGCGTAAAAGTTTCTGTAGTGTAAACGCTTTTTTGTGTAAAAACTTCTGTGTGTAAGAGCTCCTCTGTGTAAAGGCTTTCCCGTGTAAAAGCTTCTGTGTTTAAAAGCTTCCGTGTGTAAACCGTCTGTGTATAAACGTTTCTGTGTAAAAACTGCTCTGTGTAAAAGTATCTTTGTGTAAAAGCGTCTGTGTGTAAAAGCTCCTCTGTGTACAAACTTCTCTGTGTAAAAGCTCCTCTGTGTAAAGACTTCTCTGTGTCAAAGCCTCTGCGTGTACAAGCTTTTCCGTGAAAAAGCTCCTCTGTGAAAAAGCTGCTCTGTGTAAAAGGCTTCTCTGTGTAAAAGCCTCTGTGTGTGCAAGCTTCTCTGTGTCAAGACTACTCTGTATAAAGACTTCTCTGTGTAAAAGCTTCTGTGTGTCAAGCCTTTCCTGTGTAATGTCAAGTGAGGATTAATAAACCCCTCCCGATTAATCAACCACCACTGCCCAAAACAAAATGCAATTTAAAAACAGATGTTCACCCCAGATTAATAAACCCCCGCGATGGCCTCTATATCGTCCGCAAAAATAAGTATATCAATTGCCATGTCACGGCCCAGCAACTCATGTATCAGCCTCACACTGGCTCCAGAAATCCTTGACCACCAGTATGATGCACATGCAACTCCCCCGATTAATCAACCACCAGTGCTGAAATCATGTTTTTTATCCAAAATTCTTTATAAAAATCATCACCCTGGGCAGGAATCTGAAGACCACAAGTCAACTTCCTATAACCATGAGCCAATGGAATCTGATGGGATTCATGAGATTTTAAGACCTCAATCTTATCAAATCCAATTGGTTTCAAGACTCAAATCTAATCAAAACCCATGGAATCTTATGGGTTCCATGAGGTATCAGCTATCAAATCTAATCATATCCAAAATTTTATGGCTCAGGGTCCGTTTATTTAGGGGAAAACCAAAAAAGACCTTGCAAGGTCTACCCTGACCTTCTGGGGGGTGGTTTATTAATCCGGTGTTGGCATTAAAAGTTTCTCCGTGTAAAAGATTCTGCGTGTAAAGTCCTCTTTGTGTACAAGCTTCTCTGTGTAAGAGATCCTCCGTGTAAAGCTCCTCTGTGTAAAGCTCCTCTGTAAGCTGCTCTGTGTAAAACCCGCGCCAACAGCTCCGCATTTTCAGTGCCGCTCCCTCCCAGCAGAGCTCTTCCCAAGCTATTTCGCCACCTGTCCGTTCACGCTGATGCATATCCTTGCCTCGCCGCAAAGGGAGCGAAAACCAAGCATCGACGGACAGAACGGGACAGAACGCCGAGCAAAATGAAAACCCCTCCGGCAAAGAACTTTTTCCCATGCATGTCCGGCATGTCCCTTTGCCCAGCGCTTAGACATCGTTTGAGAAGTCTTTGGCACCAGTTTTTCAAAACAATCGCGTTGATGGAATTTGTCCTGAAAAATCCGTGCCAACAGCTCCGTTCTTTTAGTCTCGCTCCCTGCCAACGAAGCTACCATGTCCCATGGCCCAGGGTTTGGAAACTTTGGCAGGTTTTGGGCGCACAGTTTTTCGGAACAATCGTATTGATGAAATTTGTCTCCTGAAAAGCCCGTGCCAACAGCAGTGCATTTTTAGTGTCGCTCCCTGCCAACGAAGATATGCATGTCACGATTGCAAACCACTTGAAAAGTCCTGGGCGCACAATTTTTCGGGGGAATCGCATTGATGGAATTTGTCCTGAAAACCCGAGCTCTCCCCAAGCTATTTCCCACGGTTTCCCATCCATCCACCTTGTCGCCGCTCCTTCTCAACGCAGCTCTCCTCCACCCTGTCGTCCCTTCCATCCCGCTCCTTCCGAACGGAGCTCTCCCCAAGCTATTCCCCACGGTTTCCCCTCCGTCCCTCTCGTCGCTTCCATCTCGCTCCTTCCCCACGGACCTCTCCCCAAGCTATTTCCCACAGCCTCCCACCCTGTCATCGCTTCCATATCGCTCCTTCCCAACGGAGCTCTCCCCAAGCTATTTCCCACAGTTTCCCTTCCGTCCACCCTGTCGTCGCTTCCATCTCGCTCCTTCCCCACGGAGCTCTCCCCAAGCTATTTCCGACGGTTTCCTTTCCATCCACCCTCTCGTCGTTTCCGTATCGCCCCTTCCCCACGGAGCTCTCCCCAAGCTATTTCCCACGGTTTCCTTTCCGTCCAGCCTGTCGTCGCTTCCATCCGTTCCTTCCCCACAGAGCTCCCCCCATGCTATTCCCCACGGTTTCCCCTCCGTCCACCCTGTCGTCGCTTCCATCTCGCTCCTTCTTAACAGAGCT